CCCTGGACTCCCATTACCCCTGGACTCCCATTACCCCTGGACTCCCATTACCCCTGGACTCCCATTACCCCTGGACTCCCATTACCCCTGGACTCTCATTACCCCTCGATTACCATTACCCCTGAACTCCCATTCCTCCAGCTAGGCATCAAACTCCAGCAATCCCAAGAGAACCGATGGAGGTTTTGTACAGGGACTTCATGACTATCATTGCAGTATGGACAGGAGAAGAAACAATCGCTCATAATCAACTTTGCATGTTGTCATGGTGATGATCAACCTGATTTTATCCATTCGATAACTCTTAAGAACCACAGTTAGCATTCCTGCAGCTAAATCAATAAAATCTTTGCTTCAGCCAAACATCGTTCTCATCAGTGAATATTCATGACTCAGATATATGATTGAGTATAGTGTTTAATATATATGCTTCTCAGTTTAGTGTGTATATGTATTTGGATTTAGAACGGCAAGCAGAATGAATCGATCAGTTCTCCCCTATTCAACATTCATTCATAGTCCTCACACTGCATGCAAAAAATCGAACGTTAGTAAATTGAAGTCTATCGCGTGCAATGGTCGTTCGTTCGTTGGGTAGAATGTAAAGTCTAGAATTTGTGTTGAATATTATTGGACGTGATTAATTATTGATTAGGTTCTCTTGGAATTTTTGATCAACTCACTTTAAAAGCAACTCGAAGTCCGTCCTATTTTCGACAAATGCTAAAGAATTTTGTTTCAAACTGATACATGTCTTTAAAAAAAGTCAGGAAAAAAAATCAGAAAGAATCTACTGATTTAATTTTGTACTGAAGGAATTAAAAGAATAGGATTTTGTTTGAAAATAAACCGACAATGTATTATTAAGCGGCCAATCATATTGATAGTAACTTCATCATTATCGTTAGATGGAACTCATTTGCATACGTATCACATGCTGGAGAAAACCTGGCAAGCCTTAGTTTTATATTCCTAGTTAGACCCTTCTTTCAATTCTCCCAGGCCTTACAAAATGAAAACCCATTGAAATCATTGAATCAATTCACTTGAATAATTGTCAGTACTAAAAGGGAAGTGAAGCATGTTCTTCAAAGATCGTTCGCTAGGCTGTGGCTATCTGCCGATATTCTGGTGTACTTTCACCTGCTTTACCTTCGCCTTGTGCTACACAGTTGCTGTAAAACTCGACCATATCTACCCTCTTGTCCCAGCTATAAGCGACACAGGAGCACAAGTACCAGAATCAAACATCTTTTCTGAACTGTTCAACTTTTCATGTCTTCTTCTTGCCGTAAACATGTTCCTTCGGTATCTTCAGTTCGGCATTATTAGCAAACCATTCATTTCTACTGATCCGCTGCTTGAACGCTTCAACAAGCTGTCCCTGTGCTTTGGAATGGTGGCTGTATTTGGAGGTACTATCATAGCAAATTTCCCTTCACAAGAGGCAAGTTTTCCGTAAATACCTAGTATACGGATTTACTAAATCCTCTATTATGATTTCTTATATGTCATTTATTTGATTTTTCTTTTTGTTTAAATCTTCACAACAACCTTCTCAGATTTCGGCAATAATTCAAAATCCTTATTTTACTATTGGTGGGAAAATTGATTGACTTTCTTTTATTATCGGCGACTGATATAGACGGATTTCTCCAAACTATTTCGCCATCTTTAAACCTTTTTATTTATTAATGTATTCCGATTTTATCAACTGTATTATTTTCACCCAGTAAAACCAACTTTGATAATAAGCCTGAGATGTGTCTGAGTCACGGGATAGCTATTTCATTACACCATTTATGAAAAAAGTTTCGGCTATCAATCATTAATGGGGGAAAAGTAGGTTTATCTATCGTTCTTCTTTCCCCTGTCCCGGTCACTTCAGGTGGGCAAGGGATGATATTCAGAAACCCACGCGCACACAATCAAATTAAAAATATGAAGCCAGTATCACCATGATCTCCATGTATCCAATCAGACATTCTTGTATGATGGATTACGAATTTGACGTCCTAGCCTAAAATTCACCTAATCACACATTTCATACTGATAGTCATGTACTGATATATATATATTTGATTTACAGGAGATTAACATGGTAACATGGTATATTTTTACATTTTTTACCATGCACTTGCATAGTATAGCCATGTACTGATATATTTGATACTGATATATATATATATATATATATATATTTGATTGACAGGAGAGTAACATGGTATATTTTCACGATACCGGTGCTGTACTTCTGTTTGGCTTTGGAGCTGTGTACTGCTGGCTACAAACCATATTGACCTACAAGCTGAATCTTCTCGATGTGAGCCCAGTGTCTTTGTTTGCTGTACGGCTTATTCTGACCTGCATCATCACAGTGTTCGGATCGATTTTCTTCATAGCTGAAGTAGCAGCGTATGATGCGTTTCGCCAGCAGACGGAACATACCGTAGCTCACTGGCAGCCAGACGACCCTGGATACTCTGTACATGTCCTTAGCAACATCGGAGAGTGGTTGTCAGCCTTCTGCTTTGGTTTGTACAGTGTCACGTTTTTTGACGAGTTTCAGTGTGTTACTCTTAGTTTGGACTGTAAGCTAAAACCAGGCGCTGCTTCGGAGAGTAGAGACTATCTAAACCTTGAAGAAGGCAATCGAGAACAGGACGATGAATAGATGATGTTATCCTTGCTTTGGTGGTGTTGGTTATCTAACAAGTCTACTTACTGGAATTATACAATAAACTGTGTAACGATCTCTTCTCTCCTCCAATCCAACCCCCACCCCCTCTAACTTGCTACCATCGGTAACGGGTATGCTTGAACAAATTACTGGTTCCCTAACTTGTGAAAAGCTAAGGTTAATCCTGTATGTTACAATTACATCATATTATCCTTTGTTAACTGGATTATGCGGTTAACTATCTTGACGTACGCATGGTGCTCGGTGATTGGTCAGCTTCGTTTAGTTAGGTCTACCTTTGGGACTGGTGTTGGTTAACTTCCGTTTTTATGTAACTTTTAAAATTATAATCCAATAAAACACCGATAAAATCAAGAATTTATTGACCGTTTATATAACTATTCGTAAAATATTTGAGATGCTAGGCGCGCTTTGATTGGTCGAAACGTTTGAAAACTCCATGTTTATATCAGAGGACACACGCACAGCTCAAACGTCTTGCTTATCTCGGCTACACTTTCTCTCGACAACTAATATAACCTATAGACTTCATTTAAAACCATATAAACACGAAGATAACTCCAACACAAATATAATTGAACGATGACAAAAACCTTGATCCAGAACTCCACGTTGAATCTGGAAAAAAAAATCGATCCGTCACGTGATAAACAAAATAGACACGTGTTTGATGACATCATGCGTGTACTTACCCTTAAATTCAGCGTAAAATCCTTTGTGTTTGTTAGAGGGATCATTGTCACTAACAAAACGAACCCACATCTGGTYAGAGGGAGACTCAATTACTTTACGAGTATCTTTATTACCACAGAGCCTGCCAAGAATTATTCCTCCACGTCGGCCCCAGACTCCCTCACGAATCTCTACGTAATCATTGGTGCAGTCTCCATCCTTGTTCGTTGCATTTTCCAGATCAAATGAGGTGAACCTTAGATGAACTTTTTTCCCATCAGGCACAGCGATGTGCCAAGTACATGACATATTGGTCGGGTATGGATGAGGGTGTTTAGGACTTGAAAAGGTACCACTTGTATCATTCAGACGATTTACACAGTACTCCTCTACGGGTCAACATCAAAACATATATGAATTATTTGTCTTAGCAATAATCTTGTAATAATCATGATGTCGTCAGTATTCAGAGAGATGGCTACCTATTCTTACCTTTATTATTGGGAGGAACAAGTGCTGGTGCAATGAGTCTCACTTCTCCTTCAAACCCTTTGAACTCAGAACTGTTATCAGATATAAACAGAAGAGTCATTCGTTGAGAGGGCACTAAATGTATCTTACGCTTCAAGTGTAAAGAGTTGATGTAGTTATCAGACAGAACTGAGCAATACCGCCGCCAGTTAGGAATAGGGTGGTCAGTAAATGACACATGCAGATAATCGCTTCGACATTCCTTGGAAGGTTCCACCTGGAAGTGTCTTAAAGCAACCAAAAGCTCGTAATCTCCTGGTGCAGTGAAAGTCCAGGAACAGTTGGTGTTGGGAGGATAATTGTTTGGGAAACCTGGAGATTGTACTTTATACATCCACCGAGGCTTGAGAGATGCTTTTTCTTGAACTTTAGTCTTACCGTCAGAACAGGCTGTGAGAGAAAAGGAAACTGTAAACAATCGTGAAACTGATATTAGACAATAGCAGTAGTTTTCTACCACCAAGAATATTTATCATATTTTACTGAATTCTGCTCAATAGTCGTGCCTTTGGCTCGGGAGATTGATCGACCCTGGCACTTCCTCCGAGAAGGTAGCTCTTGTATTACAAGAGGTAGAGACAGTAAATGACGGGTATGCTTCCAGAATTATCAGTCCACGCGGGCCTAGTATATCCATGGGAGATCCTACGTAGCAAGTAGTTGATGTAATGTATTCATGCACTTAATCAAACCTAATATGATAGACAGAATGCCAATAGAACGTAATAGATTTYCTGAAAACATTACATCAACTGAGTGCAAAATAGGTTCTCCCCATTATTATGAACCAAAATATGACTTACCAGTCACCAGAGAAGCTTGTGCAATAAAGGCTGAGTTATAAAATGTAAATGAAAATTAATCATGAAAATGTACGTACAGGTAAAAATGCTACCCGGTGAGGGCTGTGGTTGAGTGGGGTGTGTTCTCGGTTGTGCTGTTGAAATATCTGGTGTAGTGCGCTTAATGACTATGATCGACTCGCATTATTGATCGCTGCTTTGAACCTCGTCAGTGTTCTATAGCTTGACCACGTGAACCGATTGCCAATATTAACAAGAATAAGATATGGAGAACATACCTATTTTTTCTCGAGAAGAGAGTAAGTAACTTAATTTTCTTTGACGTGAAACCACTTTAAATAACGGTGTGTTAGGAACAGTAAAGGAACGTGGTCTTGTCGGTACTGATCGCCGCGTTCAGGAATGTCGGGAATACAAGTCTTTAATCGCAATTAAGGCTTTTATTTATGGGCCATTGAGTCTAATGTAGTCATAGTGTCATAGTGTTATCAATGCTTTGCGTATTAGTTACACTAGTTAGTACAAAACTAATTCATCTAATACAATTCTTGAGAAAGGACATATTTAATGTTTAATAGAATACTTACCGATGATCAAGACAGCACAAACCCACTGTGCAATGTTCTGCGAGGGAACGAGAGAGGTAATCATAGTGAACTGTTCATGAAGCGATAATCCCTGTAATCTTTACAGGGCCAGTTTAATAAAAATAGTGTGTCAAGCTGAAACAAGTCGTGATTGGTTGACTTCACCAGGAAATTTGCTGCTGAAACTGTATCACGAAACTAATAATGTACAATAACGAGGGCGAGCTGACATGCTGTTTGATAGGTTGTCGACACCTCCCTCGCGAGACCTGAATCGTGGCTCACCTTGAAGTCTCATGGAACCACAGGTAGCCCAAGCTTGGTTTCTGTGGTGTCCTGTTATAAGGAAATGTATGGAGATTTATCAAAAATTTCAATAAAATCATTGAAACATGAAATAAAGCCTCAAAATTTTACCCGATCATTGAGAAATAACACTTCTTTTGCTCTGCGTGGTTATATTTTGAATTTAGCCCGTTTTAAGATTTTTTCCGCACCAGTAAAAATCTTAAAACGGGCTAAATTCAAAGAATAACCACGCAGAGCGAAAGAAGAAAAGACATCGTACCCAGTCGCTTCTCTTGTCTTATTGATCTCACGCTGTGGTTGATGGGAAGGATTTAGTGAGTTCCAGGTGCATCAAGGGAAGGACGGAAGAGAAAAGCGACCGCGCGCAAAAAAAGCGTGAAACAAATGACGACAGGGTACGAGTCTGCTTGTTCGTGCAGAAAATACTGTTCGCGTAGATGAATCATGAATAGATAAACCAAAACAAGGTTTTGCCCGTGAAGTTCATTGAAAATTCTTGGAAATAATCGCTTCGAAATCATCCCTATCTTCTTGGCTTGAAATCCTTGATTGCGAAATTGATAAATTAATATTTCTAGTTCGGCTGTCTTGAATTACGGCGGTCAACGAAATACAGCATGCGTAGACATAAACCTGTGCCACGTGATCTGCTAGCTCCGCCCTCTCTTAATCACTTGACAACATAGTGACATTGATTGACATCTAATACGTGATAATTGATTGGAGTATAGATGGGAACCCTATAGCAGATACCCTCAAAGGTCTCTTGGGTAAGTTCCTTAAGACCCCTGGGTACTATTGCGCAACTTGTTCAATTTGTGGAGCAGGAATCAGAAAAAAAAAACAAAGGCATTTTATAGCTGGTATTCCACAGGTAACCCAGCAATTAAACTTTAACAAGACCATTAGAAAACAAAATGAATAGATCAAAAAAATGGTCAAAAAAACGACTGGTACGTTCAGCAACAAGCAACAAATTAATCTGCCTCTCGGCTGTATAATTTTCCCTTTTGTTGGGCTTATTTAATATGTGGTTTATGAACGTTTGAATCGTTCTCTAAAAAGCTTAGCTTTCTAAAGTCTTTTCCAAGAAGACTCCAGATATTTCTAGAGTTTTCGGGAACATTCGGGAACCTTTCGGGATCCGCACTGAGTTGAGAAAATGACGCAATGTGTTTCCATATATGGAAATCATGTCCTCTTATGGTCAAAGATGGCCGCCTTGGATTTGACATATATAAGTGAGAAGGCACGTGAAGGACTACCGGTAACTGATTGAGACGAGCTTTAAAACTTTATACACGGCTTTTATTCACTTTTTTTTATTCAAAAGAAAAAAGGACGAACAGAGAACAAAGTGAAAAATGTCTGTGGTTGGATTTGACGTTGGGAATCAGTCTTGTTATATCGCTGTTGCACGTGGAGGTGGGATTGAAACGATCGCCAATGAATACAGTGACCGATGTACACCGTACGTACGACCACTTTTTCTCTTCCATAGTTAACTTGCTTTATTACTCTTACCTTTAACGAATATTAATCAATCCTCTTGTAAATTAATTTTGTTCATAAACGAAGTTCAGACTCTGTTTTATTGCGAAGTATTTTTATATTCTAGCGTTTTCGTTTTCTTTTATCTTAAAGTAGGGAAAATGATTTATTTCGTCATGGTGAATGAATACAGATTTTCTACATCATTTATTAAATGTTTTCTCACTCTTTTATTCTAGGAGTGTGGTATCTCTAGGAGAAAAATCAAGACAGATTGGCACATCTGGAAAAAATCAGGTAAATATATCTTATGTATCAAAGATTTCTGTTGGAAATCATTGAGGTTATGGAAGATATTAAGATAGCCATGAATATTGAGTACAATTAAGATAATTGAATATTCACACACTGTAACAGAGTGCACTTGACAAGTAAGATTTATTTTCTTGCAGATGATTTCAAACCTGAAAAATACTATAAGTCAGTTTAAGAGGTTAATTGGTAGGAAATTTAGTGATCCTGTTGTGCAACAAGAAATCCAAGACTTGCCTTACCAAGTGGTAGAACAGCCTCAAGATCAAATTGGTATCAAGGTAATATATCTATATATCTATGATCTTTGAGAAATAATGGCATTGCTATGTAGACCAAATATTTTCAGTGTTTCCTACGTACGTACTAATATTGATAATGGTTATTAATAATGGTTATTATTTGAACAGGTGCGATATTTAGGTGAAGTGGAAGTTTTCTCTCCAGAGCAAGTAATGGCAATGCTATTTACAAGACTAAAAACCACGGCAGAGATAGGTCTTGGTACTAAAGTAACAGACTGTGTTGTATCGGTAAGAGTTGTGAATAGAGTTTGTTAGTTCTCTCCCTTTATTTGAGAGTTTTTCCCCAGTTTATTTGGTTTTCCTCCCACAAGAACTGTTGCTAAGGCACTAATTTCCAAATTCAAATTTTAGCCATACCCTGACTAAGATCAGCCAGAGTTTTTTTCAGTTTAATGATATGTGTGTACAATACTTTAGGTACCTAGCTATTACACAGACAGACAGCGGCGAACAATGCTTGATTCTACTGCAATGGCTGGTTTGAATTGCTTGAGACTTATGAATGATACAACTGCAGGTACGATATTTTGATTTACTATCTATTTATCCACCACTTGTGATTTGTGATGGTTGTACTGGGCCTAGAATATATTAGTGTGAATATTTATAGTAAGAGCATGTCTTCATTCAGTGTTTTCAGGTCTAGATATACAGCAAATGATTTTTGTACCCAAGCTAGACCAGAAAGCATCATGCTTTGCCATTTTATTAATGATTAACTTTCATAATCGTTTGGGATACTGAATAATGATTGTTTATTTATGTGAATAAATGTCACACTATTTTGTGAAATGTGAATGTAGACAGTTATTTTCAAAAGGGTGTGCATGTTATTTTCCAGTGGCCCTTGCTTATGGTATTTACAAGCAAGATCTGCCGACAGACAAAGCAAGGAATATAGCATTTGTTGATATGGGACATTCATCACTGCAAGTAGCCATCTGTGCATTTTTAAAAGGTCAACTAAAAGTAAGCAACATGCATTATTTTTTCTGCATTAATATATGTTATGATTTGATATATATGGTGTATGCCTATTTTATCATTCTTTATTGTTTTTAGGTGCTTTCAGTTGATGCTGATCCTACCCTTGGAGGAAGAGACTTTGATAAAAGAATATGTCAGAAATTCATTGAAGAATTCAAGGTACAAGACATTTACTACATTTACTATTACTATGTATGTTCTTGAAATCCTTGTGCTCAATTCCTTTGGCTTTATATTTCAGCAAAAGTACAAGCTAGATGTGTTAACCAATCCTAAAGCTAAAGTTAAGCTCACAAATGAATGTGAAAAGCTTAAGAAACTCATGAGTGCCAACTCCACAGACATCCCAATCAACATTGAATGCTTCATGGAAGACATGGATGTGACTGGAAGAATGAAAAGGTATAGAGCTTTGACTTAAAGTTTTGATTTACAGCCTGTAACTACTGGTAACCACATTTTAATATTTCTCATCTGATTCTTTATATTTTAGGGTTGCATTTGAAGAACTCTCAGTGGATCTGATACAAAGATTTGAAAAACCTTTAAGAAGAGCTCTAGAGCAGTCAGGTAAATATTTGTTTGCACTGCTACAAAATGTATATATGTACTGTATACACATGGTCTTCTCACTATAATGTTGATTATGATAGTATTCAAGACTGGGGCAGTATTCATTCCAATAGCATGGATGTCGTACAGTATGGCTTGCCTCTCACATTTGAGGTCAATCCTGAATTTATTCCTAAATTTGCTGTTATTATTATTATCAGCAATCAATGAAAGTAGTTTGATTAGTTTTAATGATATTTGTAGCATTAGTTAACGCGGCAAGCATGCATAATTGAAGTTTTACCTACGTTTTACTTACCTCCCTGTTAATTGCATATAAGCATTACGTGCTGCTTGTCTCTAATGCTTTGAAGACATTTTGATGATAGAGTAACTCCATATATCATTCTCTTTTAAGGATTGAAACCTGATCAACTTGAAGGTGTAGAGATAGTTGGTGGTTCAACTCGTGTTCCCATATTGAAAAATATCATAAAGAATGTCTTTGGAATGGAGCCAAGTACAACATTGAATGCCGATGAAGCTGTTGCCAGGGGATGTGCATTACAATGTGCAATGCTTTCACCAACATTCCGTGTACGAGAATTTTCTGTCAATGACATTGCACCATACCCAATTGTTCTGACATGGAAATCTCAAAGTGAAGAAGACCCAGGGTAAGAGATCAACATTTTTCTTTGTGATATTTTCTAAATAACCTCTATAGGATAGATAGATATTTAATGCCTTATTATGTCTTATTATTGCAACAGAGAAATGGAATTGTTCACTCCCAACCATCCATTCCCATTCTCCAAGATGCTGACCTTTCACCGTAAAGAACCATTTGATCTTGAGGCTCATTATAAAAGCTCAACAGATTTGCCAATCAAAAATGGCTTCATTGGTAAGTCATGTAGTGCTTGTCTTTTTTTAACTAAAATAAAAACATTCAGATTTGAGATTTGGTAAGATTTTAATTCTGGTGGTCATGCTATTTGCAGGTCACTTTTCTGTCAATAATGTGGTACCTTCTCAAGAGGGTAGTTCATCAAAAATCAAGGTTAAAGTGAACATGGATGTTCATGGAATATTTAATGTGAGTGGAGCACAGCTTGTTGAGAAGATTGAATGTGAGCCAGAACCAGAAGCAATGGAGACTGCTCCAGAAACACAGAAGAAAGAAGAACAAGCAGATGGGGAGGTCCCACCAGCAACTGTAAGTATACTTGCATGGATATACATGTAAAGTATGGGGTCTTTAGTCAACAGCAGAACTATAGACTCATATGAGACCCTTAATGTCTACCTTGGTAAAATTGATTTCTTATTTTTATTTTCAAAGAATGATAGCGAGGATGCCAAGAAAACTAAAGCAGAGGAACCCATGGATGTTGAGGTAAACGATGTCCAYAGTATCTTAGTGACTGTATTGAACATGAGAGGTAAAAAAGGTTTGTACTTTTGACTCTCAGCAGGAAAATAAGGCAAATGGAAAAAAAGACAAGAACTCTGAAAATAAGAAGGACGAAGGCTCTAAAGCGAAGAAGAAAAAACATGCTGTGAAAACCAATGATCTTCCAATACAAAGTGTTGTCCCTTCCCTAGACAAAAAACTCCTTAATCTGGCTATTGAAAAAGAGGTGAGATTTGATTTATTTTTCTTTTCTATCTTTAGCATTATTTATCCTGTGTTGCATAATGTATGATTATAATAATATTATGATGGCTTGAATTCCATACAAACCTTGTAATTTTGTTTGTCCTCAAACCCCCCACCCCCTGGGAATTTGTGGAACCACGCATTGTTAGCATAGCGGCATCTCCATAGTACTAAGTGTTTGTATGAGTTAGTGTTTTAATTCTTTTGTTATTTTTACTGTCAATCACAGAACAATATGATAATGCAGGACAGACTGGAGAAGGAAAGAGCTGATGCTAAAAACAGTGTTGAAGAATATGTGTACAATATGAGGAGTAAAATATATGACATGTATCAAAACTTTATAAGTGATGCTGACAAGGAGAAATTTCAGAAGGTATTGGATGATGCAAAAAACTGGTTGTATGAGGATGGTGAGGACCAAAAAAAGAAGGTTTACATTGACAAACTAGCAAGTTTAAAGGTATGGGCAGCAAATCATTATAACATGGACCTCCTGTCTATTAATGCATATCTATTTATGGGTTATGCCCTTGTGTATTATGCAGAAAATTGGAGATCCAGTGGTGAACAGATATAAGGAATCACTAACAAGATCAGAAGCCTTTGAAAGTCTTGGGAGGTCAATTCAACAAATGAAGAAAGTTTTAGATCTTATAGTCCAAAAGGTAAACGATATTGACTCTCATATTGTTGCACAACATTGTCTTTAATATATGTTGCCATGTTTCTGTGGTATTTTGTATGGTAATGTTTCATTTTAAATCATAGGATGAGAAATATGATCATCTAACTGAGGAAGAAGTAAAGACAGTTGAGAAAGCTGTGAAAGAGAAGGAAGACTGGTTAAACTCCAAGTGGAATGCACAAGCCAAAATACCAGAGAACAAAGACCCTGTTGTATTAACAGCATCCATCCTTGCTGAAAAACAGGTAAGATGTATTCTGATAATAATGGAAAACACCTGAAAATAAGATGGGTTTGTGGACCCCTTGCTCAGTGTTGGAGGACATAACGATAGGTTCTCAATTCTCAGGAGATTGAATTCTTTTGTTTTGTCCTCCAAATTAAGCTGCTTTGACCTCATGTGCAAATTTGTCTGCATGCCAAATTCGTGGAAATCATCCTCAGAATGACTTTTGATCAAATATCTAAAGACTGGTTTATATCTCGTTTTCAGCAACTAGAAACCAAATGTAATCCAATTGTCAACAAACCTAAACCCAAAAAGCCTGAACCACCACCAAAAGAGGACGAAAAGAAAAACGAAATCAATAAAGAAGAAAAAACGGAATCGGAGCCTAAAGATACCAAGGAAGATGAAAAAATGTCTGAAGATAAATCTCCTGAAGATGAAAATAAATCAGTAGACATGGATGTAGATTAGATACTACATTAGATATTTTCAAGCAAGTACTATAATGGCTAACTATGAATGACGGGTAATGAAGTGCTAAATAAGAACATGTTACTATGGTTACGAGTAGCTACTGGATAAACATCAAGCAAGTACAATAATAAGCCGACTACAGCCATGATGAGTAATGAAGTGCTAAATAAGAACACGTTACATAAACATCAAGCAAGTACTATGATAGGCTAACAGTTAAGTAGAAGATAACAACAGGTCATGTTGGTTACTAGTATACTGTACATGTACAAGATACTATGTGTAGCAGTACTTACACTAGCGTCATGTTAGTTACTAGTATTACTAGTATTACTGTGGCGTCTTGTTGGTTACTAGAAGTTCATTCTTATCAACTGCATTAGGATATTTTTTATTTTTGTTTATTGAAGGAGATGTTGGATTATTCCATAATAGGTTTAATAAAACGGGTTATTTTGTGTGTCTTAAGGTAACCAATGGTTCAGTTTCCAGCTAGTACTGGACAAAAGATAAAGTTTGCAGCTTTGTCAACCTAATTGAATAAATAAAACACTGTGCACTAAGATGATATCTGTGAGTCAGTGTTATACTATTGATAAGGTATTTTATGAATATTAAATTGACATTTCTTCGTATTACTTTAATGTGTTGTTTAATTGATAGCAAGTACAATTTCCCTCCAGAAATCTTTTTAATTATTATTTCTTTATTTATTTTACGATGGTGACCATCAGCTGAACACAATTCAAAAGAACAAAAATATTCCACGTTGTAGTTATTTATCCATCAAGTCTGTTGTTACCTTGTATAGAGAATACCTATAATAAATACGTTAGTAGTGAGACACGATACTAGTTGCATGATAAAGTAATTTTTATAGGTGCATATACTTTTTTATATACTTTTCACTCTCCATTTGTCTTTTATTAATGTGTTTTATTAGAATATCGTATTTTTACCTTCAGTTTTGATCCTGAGTGGACCTTCACTTTTTTGTGTTGAATGCTGTACTGTTGTTGGCCAACTTGGCTACTAAAAGGAAATGTTTAAAATCATTTCTCGATACGTGTCAGTTGTGCGCATTACAAGTTTCTTTTCCCGGCGCCCCTACAATAAATGAACACCACACCCACCTCAAGATATTGGATTTGATACATTTATGGACAGCACAGTAACATCCAGAAGAAGGTGGACCTGACCTGACCATCACATGTGATTCTATGTAACCATTAGGGCAGGCACGGTCAACAAACCAAACACATAAAGGAACACACAGGAATACAGAAGTAGCTTGAGTAGCCGTGTCACATGTACAGATATACGTGCAATTATTGAGTGTTATTTGATCGTTATGCTTGTATAAGCGACCTTCGTGGCTGCACACTGAAAAAAAAAACACAAACGCAACTCTATGTTATATGGAGTAATAGGGCTAGCTTTCACTTACAGTATTACTAGGTAAATGTTCGTTTTCACATGACTTAAACAAACAAGCGCGTTAAGCTTTTTCCAAGACTAGTTCATATTATCTTGCTTTTTCCCTTGGCTTGTTTCGACTTAATGAAAACCAGACCTAAATAAATACTTGTGTACTATTTGATGATGGCTGGGGTGTGGCAGAACCATCTGCATGGGCGTGGTAAACTGAATGATGTATCTCGTACTTACACTTTGGCCTTGCTAAGACGACTGCCAGGAAGCCCAATACTAAAAGCACATGCATTAACAGAACATGATGATAATCCATTTAATAGATGGACAGGCCGCCGGATAGAACGAGCAACTGAAAATAGTCTAATATTTGTAACAAGACACGGTAAATCAGGTGTTATTGCAGTAATTTCTGTCAAACTAACTTCTCCTCTGCATATAACCGTTATATATATATTGAAAATTGATCAATGTTTATGTGTTACAAGTTTTTGTTTCATGATAAGAGCGATGCAGCGAAAACAAGCCAATGACGTCAGTAAAATCATTCTTGTACGATAATCACAGTGCATGTTTTGAAAACAAACGTGTTTTATTATCTACCCTCAGCTTACTTTTGTTATGTGTATGACGTATGATTATAATAATAATTGTTATTTATAAAGCGCTTTTTCCTATAAAGCCTAAAAGCGCTGTACCATATATTAAGAAAATTAGAATAGTACTAAAAATGATATAACATATTCATGCAATTTAGTTACTGAACGTTCACTGAAGTGATTCAAGTATTCAAATATTTCAAGTTTCTTATTCTTATATTATTTCTAATTTTTGTGATGGGTGAAAACTCACACGTTGAGATAGTAAACCAGCCATCTATTTAGTCAGTTAACGCGGAAACAGTGATTGATTGATTCCTCCTTCCGGGATACACCCTACAGAGCTCTGTATGATTCCTTGTAATAGCTTGGCTGGTTTCATCGCATGAGGTGCGAGGGATTCTCTCTTTCAATGTCACTGATCCCACGTTATATGCTTTAGTAATAGTATCCGTGACAATAGTTTCTCACCAGGGCTACGTACGGCCCACACTCTATCTTGATGCATCTCGAACCATGTTTTGGTCGTAACTTTTATAACAAATCTATTGTTCTCAGTAAAATGATGTGTGATTATTACAAAATCATGATGAAAACATTCAAGTTGAATAGCTTTGATCGTAAGGACAGTTTAACTGAAATGCTTTCAGTGCTGAAGTGGAAGACGCTAGAAAGCAGACAAAGAATAGCACGTCTATCTATGATTTACAAGATACGAAATAAGCTGGTTTGTCAAGATGATGTTAGAATTAAGCCACTTGGTCGTTCCTATTCTACCCGTTTCAATAAGGATTATGTGTATATTTTACCCAAGAACACTTTCAGAATGGAACCAACTCCCAAAGGAAGCAGCACTAGCAACCTCACTTGCAGCATATTTATTAACTTGTTGGACAATTACTATTTATTATTATTTATTCTATTTATTAATATGTTAAATATGTTAATTATGTAATTATTTTAATAATTATTTAGCATGGTGCTCAATAAAAACAGACGATAATCTGGAAAGTGTGTCAGTTTACGTAGTTTCAGTTGTCTGTCATTACAGGCTTTCTCTTTCAGCATCGACCAGACAGTAAATAGATTCGGGTCAGTTTGCGTCAGTTTGCTAAGAAAATATCCGAAATAGGCTTTCTTTGAGCTTATCAACTGTTTCTAAAAAAAATACCCGGTTTGTAGTTTTTACTCGTTTTGATGACGGAGAGTTATTATCGCATGTCTTTTTATGGAAACCGGAACTTCCATGACCACTTGACCAATCAGCATGCACGATGGTTTTTTCCGGTTACTTATGCATGTGACTTGCGGGTCAACTGAACTGTTCATTTAAGAGCCTGTTAAGACGGAATTCGCCATTCAATTAAAATCAGTTCGACTTTTTAATAACCCAAACACTGAACATGGTAGTGACTTGGCTGTCAGTGTTCAGTTTTGCCGGTAAGTCAGTTACCCTAGTTATTACGTTCGGATATCTTTTCAGGATTTCCCCATACATACAGCCAATATGCAATACTATAGGAACTTAGCCTGCGTGCAGCCAGACGTTTCTCTCGGACTCAACAGTTAGTTAGGTCGGCTGCACGCAGGATATAGCAGTTATATATGTGACCATTTTACATTTAGAGCAAAGTAACAGCATGTTCACAGCTAAGACATTATCTACACTATATATCTTTAAAGTGGAAAGGAACTGATTTAGTTCCAAGAAGGCCACAGAACATCAAATGGAAAGATGCTATCAGTTATACTGCTATTTACTTTTCGCGTAGAGTGGTGAAACTAGAATATGTATCGAGTGATGTGTTGAAACAGTAGACATTCTTGTCACGCAACCCGCGTGTTGTTTCACTTTTTCCTCATATATTAATATTATCTATTTTCTCGATTTTTTTAGCTCAAGTTTTTCTAGTAATTGGTGAGTACTCGTTTCCTGTATAAGTTAAACCACCACTGCTAATCGGATATTTGTAAGAAAGGTGTCATTTTTTCTCGCGTCTTGGTACCAAAGGAATTTAGAGCCGAATTGTTGGCTTTCGCTTTTATCATTCCAGCTGATCTGCCAGTATCAGTCGGTACGACCTGATATGAGAATGACTGCTCTGTTATCAAAACAGACGCTATCATAACTGAGTCCTTTCAATGTTTTAAAGGAGTGAAACAAGGTTGTATGTTAAGTCCTACTCTATTCAATCTCTTCCTWAGTGATCTTCCAGACTTTCTTAAACAAACAAATATAAAAGATCCGATCTGTTTCGATAATGCACTATTAAATTGTATYCTTTATGCTGATGATCTAATTTTATTCAGTAAAAACTATACAGATCTTCAAGCCCTTTTAAATAAACTTGAACTATTCTCTAACACAAATGGTTTAGACGTAAATATTGAGAAAACTAAAATTCTCATTTTYRATAATTCAGGGAGGCGGTTAAGTAATTATGTTTTTTATTATCAAAACAAAATTTTAGAAAATGTTAAACTTTACAAATACCTCGGCCTCACATTTAGTGCTTTCGGAAATTTCACAATCGCAAAACAGGAACTCAAGAAATCTGCTCTGAAAGCCTTATTTAAGCTGAAAAAGGAGATGGGTCACTCTTTTCACTATGACCCTCATCTCACCATGAAACTTTTTGACACACTAGTAAAACCTATTCTGTTATACGGCAGTGAAGTCTGGGGTTCTGAGGTTTCTAAAAATGATCCTATAGAACTTGTTCATACCAAATTTTGCAAAATGTTACTCGGAGTGGGAATATATGCAACCAATTCTGCCTGTTATGCAGAACTAGGTCGACTCCGTCTGCATGTAGCTGCAAACTTAAGATGCATAAGGTACTGGCTCAATCTAGTTACACATACATCGAGCCATAAAAATTACATTCTTAGCATATAAAGAAATGATAAGCTCCAGCCGTAAAATTTGCTGGAGCCAAAAAGTAAAAGAGTCATTATTAAAAAATGGGCTGGGTGATATATGGCTAGAAGTAAATTCCAATACCTCTCGCCAGCCAAACGTCTTTGTTACTATCAAAACGAGATTTGAAGACTTAGAGAAACAAAACTGGCTCGGGGAGATCTTTAATGATAAAAGATACACCCCTGGCCAAAAGAACAAATTAAGAATGTATCGCCTCTTCAAAGTTAGTTATATGTTAGAAGGTTACCTAATAAATGTAACCATGACCTAGAAATTGAAAGAGGCAGATACTCTGGTTACAAGAAGGTAGAGGAAAGGAAGTGCTTTCATTGTACTGAAATAATAGAAGACGAAAGACACTTCCTAATTAAATGTCCTCTATACTCTAAACTTAGAGAAGAATTTCTTATGCAAAATAACATAAGTAACTCCCTTACGGAGGACCAATTGTTCCTGGAGTTGATAGATCCTCCCCATATTTTACAATCAGCTGCAGCAAAATACGTTTACAATTGTTTTGCTCTGCGTAGTGAAAAAAAGCAACAACAACAAAACAAA